AGGGTATAGCTTGAATTAGGTAATGCTGTTAACTACCCAAAAGCTACCCTAGGGAGAAGGAAAGGCAATATTTGAACAAATGGCATCCAGATAGAAACCTTGGATATTGTCTGCAATGGCCTGTTGTCTAACAAGGTAATTAAAAAAAAATCCGTCATTTGAAAAGTAAGAAAAAAAGAAGTAACAAGTTTTTCATTGCAATCATGAGCCTACAAGATGCATTGAATACTTTAAATGGCATGACTCCTGGGATGGGTGTTAATTGCAAGTTTTTCCCCTATATGCTCACTCTTAGCGGTTGCAGGCTTACTGCAATGCTGAGATTTTGGGGGAGGATGAAGTTGAATTGATGAACTGGCTGAATGAAGCCTGAGCAAACTGTCAGTCCAAGATGACAAAACAGACTCGCTTGGCAAAGAGCACTCTGAACTACTGGTATTTTTATTTGTTTTCATGTATTATTTTATTTTGTTTATATATACGTGTTTCATAGAATCAGGGAATCCTTCAGGTTGGAAGGGCCTTCTAGGGATCATCTAGTCCAACCCCCCTGCACACGCAGGGTCACCTAGAGCACGTGGCACAGGACTGCATCCAAGCGGGTTTGAAGATCTCCAGAGAAGGAGACTCCACAACCTCTCTGGGCAGCCTGTTCCAGTGCTCTGTCACCCTCACTGTCAAGAAAATTTTCCTTAAGTTCCTGTGGAACTTTTGGTGCTTCAGTTTGTGGCCATTACCTCTAGTTCTGTCGGTGGCCACCACTGAAAAGAGGCTGGCCTCACCCTCTACACTCCCTCCCTTGAGTTATTTATATATACTGCTCAGGTCCCCTCTCAGCCTTCTCTTCTCCAGGCTGAACGGGCCCAGCTCCCTCAGCCTTTCCTCATAGGGCAGATGTTCCAGGCCCCTGATCATCCTCACTTATTTTTCATTAATAAATTTTGTTTGAAATCACAATAATTCCAAGTAAAAATAATATAATTTATTATATCCATACTTACTCAAGTGGTATTTTCTTTTAGGAACTTCAAGAAGAGATTCTTCTAAGAAAGCCAAATGTTGATCTGGTTATATGAAATGGCTTAGAGCTCCTCAAGCAAGTAACAGGTGAGTGCTTTTAGGAAATTATGATTCGCTAGACTTTTTTTTTCTAAGTACTTATGAGAAAATCATAACTCAAACTTGTGAATATTAGTCCTTTTTGTCTGGTTAAAGGAGTTGTAGGTGTTTATTTTGCTAAAGATTTGAGGTCAAGGTAGGCTGTTTTGGGTGAAATTACATTAAAATGCATGAAAGCCTGCAAAAAATGGCCCTTGAATTCTTTACTATTTTCAGTGGAAAATTATTTTAGTGAACCTGCATTCCATTTTTGCAGAATCTCACTGTCAAGAACTGAATGTTCACAAAGGAAACAGAAGAGTTCCAAAACTTTATTTGACTAAAGGGAGAGCCCACTAGGGCACACAACTGCTGGGTCTCTCAAACTGCTGGAGGAGGCAGCCTCCTTTTATCCTAATTTGCTGACCAAGGGACGTCCTCTCCTTTTCCCCATTGGCCAAGGCGCTCAGAAGGTACAGCCTTCCCGGCCCGCCTATCATATGTTGCTCCTTGATGTGTTCCCCCTCCCTGGTCATACATCTCATGTCTAATTAAAGTGATTTTATGCCTCACCGGATGGAAAAGGTAATACTCCTTAGCTCCTTACACTTGTACCTACTCTCCTAGGGCTCATTCTGGGGTCACTGTTGATAGTGACCCTCCTCTCTGCCCCGCTCCTTGCCTGCACCCAGTCACGTACACACAGCCTGACCTCCCTGCCTATACTCCCTCGTCCCTCTCACCCAAGTGTGGGGAGTAGCTCCCTTATTTGTAAAGACACAGATTTCCTTGCTCCACTCACATTCCTAATAGCAAGCTATGGACATTACTCGTAATAGAAGGCATTTTGGCAGTGGACACAGTTCTCTGGAAATCCCAACGGATAGACAAGATAGTAGACTACCTTCTACTGCAAGAGGAAAGCTTTATCCTCTAGACTGGAGTTAATGCTGTGGGAAAACTTACACTCCAATTGTCTGTTCTGTAGACCGACAGCTTACCTTAATGAAAATCCAGTTAGTATTTTGTTGATTTTTTTTTCTTTGCAACTTTAATAGCCCTTTCGTAATCTGCTTTTGCCTTTATGAAAAATGCTGTGAATTTAAGGTTTGTTTTAAAAAAATATTTGTTCTTACAAAGGACAAAAGTCCTTACTTTTTGAACATTTAGTAGAGTAAAAGACTTGACAGGTAAGCTTTGTAGTTCTGTGGATTCAGTGAAGGTAGAATAATCTACAACAGTTGATGACTTGCCCTATCATCTTGTGTTTTGTTTTGATTTTTAATCGAATATTGAAACAGCTCTAATAAGTCAAGGGGTTTTGTTTGGTTGGATTTTTTTTTTTCTACAGGAAATAACATTCCTCTGATATTTAAGTTGATGAAGTTGTAATAAGATAACTGGGGGGCATTAAAGCAAGGTACAAAGACACTACAAATTTGAGTTTGGATGTATCCAAGGCCTTAGAGCAGGCTCTGCAGCTTGCAGGCCAGCTTCTTCACTCAACCTACGAGGAACTCTGCAAGTGGCCTGAAGAGGCAGTGGAGTTAGTCTCATAGTCTCAGTTTGTCTCTGGAACTATAAAATTATCATCAAAAGTAAAATTCAGGTGTTTTAGAGGGAGCTAAGACCACGTAGTAGTCTTTTTAGAATTGTGCAGTACTCAGTTAAATGTTTAAAACTCAAGCAATTACATTAAAAATGTTATTTAATAATACAAAATATATTTTTTAAAATGATGCTGTTTCCCAAACTCTGCATGCAGACAAGATTGTCTGGGAAAGACAGCAAAGAGGCAAAGAGAGCAAAAAAGCATAAGAGCTTTAGGAAAAAAAGTTTGCCATTATAGTGAGATATCTGGGCATACAAAAGTTAATAGCTTAGAGGTATATTTAAAATTTTGTTTAAGTGTCAGTGTTAGAATACGCCAGACATAAATAGATAGGCAGAAGATTGCAAGCTGAAGTGAGGGGCCATCAGTGATTATTTTAGCTTATTCCAGTGAACACTCCCAGGAGTAGGAAGCACAAGGGGCTGAGAAAGCAATGCCTTCAACAGGGCCTCTGCTCCTGAGTGGGGCCAGGCTTCTGAAATGGAAGGAACTCATGGCAACCTAGCAACACTTCCCCGAGACAGCTGTGTGCAGGAGCAGTTCCTCTGCAAAAGCAGCAGGGATCTGGACACTGCCTATTGCTGCTGACATGAGAGGAGGGAAAGCAGGGAGAAGGGGAAGACAGTTTGGAGTGGGAGGACAGAGGTGAACTCACTGCAGTAGAAATCTTCAAAGCCCTTCCCATGTGCTGTCCATGCTCTGGCTACAGAGCAATGCTGCTGAGGCTCTCGGATTTGTCTTGGATTTGGCACTCCCCATGCCACAGTGGGGAGATGTTCTGGGTTGGAAGAGCGACCCCAGCAGGGCAAGTTCATTTTCCTGTCAAGAGAGGGAGCTCTCCGCCTATGAGACACAGGCTGCTCACAGTTCTAGATCAAGCATATGACATGTCTCAAGGATCTTTTCAAGAGAAAAATCAAGAGAAGGGCTACTTTAAAGCAAAGGAGCTTTCCTTCAGCTGACTGCGTTTTCTGTTTCCTTATTATGGCAAGGACACTGAAGGAACAATTTTTCCATTTTGTCAAGGAACTGGGAATCCTAAACCTTCACTCTGAAGTGCTTAGTAGGTCTGCGAGAAATCTTGGAAAGCTGCTTCATCCCCACCTTAGCATACGGACAGCATCAACATCACTTTGTGGCCTCATAGGACTTCATGAGATCTGTTGCTTAGGACCAGCAAGCACAGACAGTGCTTATAGTGAATTTTTAATCACATGAATTTTGATATGATTTGACATGGATTAAGTCCTGGATTCCTTGTGCTTGCACCACATGAAGGGCTGCAGTGCGTGCCCAGCTCAACTCCCCTGGAGCTCCTTCTCATTTTGTGCCCATCTCTGCTGCCTAGAGCTGTCCAAGCTGAGAGCTGTTTTCTGTCCCAATGTCTTTTCCTTGCCACTGCTCACAGATCCCGTATCACCCTCTGTGTGCTCAGTTCATCCCTACAGAAACCTCCTGGCACTGGAAACTGTCCAGGGGCCTCCCTGCGCATGGGTCGCATGAAAGCCCATTGGGTCCCACTGGCCCCATGCTCATGGAGGCCCCAAGGGCCCTCACGAATGCCCTTAGGGCACCTTAGGGCCCTTGCTTATGGAGTCTCCGGGTGGCCCTCTGAGCCTTGTGCGTATGGAGGCCCTGGGAGGCCACATGAATGCTTGTAGGTCCCCCTTGTGTGCGTGCATATGGAGGACATGGGGGGGCTCGCGAAGGCCTGCAGGGTACCCCAGCTCAGTGTGCATGGAGGCCCGGAGGGCTATAAGAAGATCCATAGAGCACCCCTAGTCCCTTGTGCGTGGATGTCATGGGAGGCTGCACTAAGGCCCCTAGGACCCCTAGGAGCTGTGCGCATGGAGGTCTTGGGGGTTGCACAAAAGAGTGTGCACAGAGTGAGGGAAACAGACACACACTGTGTTTAAAAATTCACTATTTTAGGGTGATTTTTGAGGGGTTGGGCGCAAGGAGGTAAATGCCTTCTTGTATAATGTACGATTTCTTTTTGTACTTCATTTGCAGGTGTATTATTACTGTCTCCAATCCAGGACACGAAAATACATACGGTGAAAGCTGTCATTTTTTCTAGGAAGTGCTTGTTACACTTTTTTTTTGTTTCCCATTAATATTTCTTTTGTTTTAACCATCTGAAAAATCCAGGTATCAGTGTGGTTTATAGACATTAAACACTGTCAGGCCGAGCTTGGAATGAGTGGGAGGCTGTCAGAAAGTCCCATGGTGCTGGCAGAGAGACCGCGCAGGGCTGCAGCGCTGCCTTGCAGGGCAGATGGGAGGCGACATGGCCGAGGCTGGCACGACCTCCAGCCAGGGGACTGCGGCACCTCCAGGCACAGCGGAGCCATTGGGGCGGCGCGGCCATGCGGGAGGTGTCGTGGCCGTGCGTGGGGCGTCATGGCTGTGTGTGGAGTGTCGCGGCCATGTGGGAGGTGTCACAGCTGTTGGGGTGTGGCACTCCCATGGCAGTGGAGCCACGGGCTCAGCTTCCCCCGGCAGGGTCATAATGGGGCCTTGGCAGCACCAGGTGAGCGCAATACAGCAGCCTGTGTATTCCAAAATAAGGGAATTCTCCCACAGCCTGGCTGATGAGCAGGGTCAAAGGGGGAGGGTGGGCACAGCCATGAGTGAGTGGGACAGAAGAGCAGATGCCAAGAAGGAAAGTGCTCCCCCTTCTCTGGCAGTGAGGACAAAGGAGTCAGGTGAGCTCAGGTGAGAACAGGTGGAAGGAGGCAGGAGTTGGGTGCAGGTGGGCTGAGAAGGCTGTAACTCCTGAGTGCCTTGGCTAACGGGGAAAAGGAAAAGGCATCCCTCAGTCAAGAAATCAGGATAAAGGGGAGCTGCCTCCTCCAGCCATTGGAGTGACCCCACAGGGATATGCCTGGTGGCTCTCCCCTTATTCAAATACAGTTTTCTCCCCTTATTCAAATACAGTTTTAGGACTCCTCTGTCTCCTTTTTGGACATTTGATTCTTGACAGTTAGATTTTCCGCACACAGGTGAGGGGCAAGGGCTGGGAGCAGCTGCTGTGGGATGTGATATGTTAACAGCGGCGCTCAGTAGAGGGTCTTAAAAGTTTAAGCTTCTAAAAGAGCTACCCATATGTGCTTCCCCTCATCTCCCCTGCTGCTTTAGGGAAATCACTTTTTCAGTTCTTTTGTTTATATATATATATAACATATATATATATATAAACTCTGCAGACTTCCCAGATGGGCTACTGTAACCCCCACTGCCGATTGTTCCCCCCTCACTTCCCCCTGTTCACCACCAGCTTGTGGTGTGGCTGGGAGAGCCTCTGTTACAGTATTGTAAGCGCTTTACCATAAGATCAAGAGATACTCAAATTCACCATAATGTTGAGTAGTTACAAAAGCATGTACTGATTTATATATATGAATATATATGAACTCCTTACACCTCTACAATCAGGTTGGAGTTCTTTTAGTGCCATGAGTGTCAGGAAAACTCTGCTGGCTCTGGACAGTGGTGTCATATGTGAGACTAAGATAAACTAAGTGGAAAACTTGCTATGAAGTGTCACATTTATTTAAAAAGAAGCTTATTTTGGCCACTTAGGTGCTACACGCTGGGGAGGGGGGTCTGAGCATGAAAATGCTGCATGTACGTGGCTGATATCGGGATATGCAGTTCTTGGGATAGTCATGATAAGACAGAAGTCCCTTTTAATGCTGGTTTTGATATTTCTAATGACTATAGTGTAAGTTTCATCCTATTAAGTAACCCAGCAAAAGCTATAAGAAATCTATATATTAAATTTATTATATAAACAATAAAAAGACAGACTCCCATGGAGAACAGGCAATAATAGTATTTTTTTTCACAATATAGCAGTTTATCTGCTATATATCTGCTAAATTCATCATGTTTTGTATATCTGCACAAAGACTAACTTTTGTGCTTACATCCATAATTTCTGATAAAGAGTTGAATGGCTGCAGGATTATTTACTGAACACTTACTGTTCCCATATGAGCTGGAATTTAAAATGAAAACTTACAATGAACACAAAGCTATCTGAATAATTTATAGCAGAGTTGAATGAACTCTGTGGAGCGGTTTCAATCTTGAGATTTAACATTCAAAGTTAGATGTTTAACTTCCTGAAAAATTGCAATGGAGGCAGAAAGAACCTTTGCCACCTTGGCTTTGCCACGTCTGTTTTTCCAAATCTGCAACATTTTGCATCAAGTTTCAGATCTGAGCCCTCCCTGGGTCTGGTGTTTGGTAGATCTTGAGTTTTGCTAGAATAATCCATCTTTTATCATCAATTATTGTAGACATGATTTTCTCTGACCATTGGTCATTGATCTTTGCAAAGTGTATTGAGAACTTGTGACAACACAGACTAGTTGAGAATGTGGTGCCAGTGGCACGGGTTGTTGGTAACTGATTTATATTTGTGCATCTTGTTAAACCAGAGGCTTGTGGTTAGAGATTAGAGATGATGGAGGGCGAAAAATAAATCTTGTGTCCAAAGCAGAGAAGATGTTGAAGTGCCCGAGTGACTGCGTTTGATGTTGCCTTTGTGGCACAGGTGTTCAGCGATCCTGTTTGTGTTGAGGAGAAACATGGGAATGTTGTGGAGGAAGGGAAACGACACATCCCCAGGAAGATCTAGAAGAACATGTGGGTAGGAGATGTGCTTGAGCACGGCATGTGCTCACAGAGGAGAGGAAGGGAATGCCAGGAGACGGATGCTTGACAGACCGCAGGAAGCTTTCACACCTCTTAGAGGTAAGACTTGTTTGCTGCACTGAACTGTTCCCATCACTCACTGTCATCTTTCATTTTGTGGCTGCCAGTATTTTTCCCTGAATTTGTGGTTGATTTCCAACAGGTTAATAATGCACACACTTTCTCACTCCCTCTTTGGGAACTGCAGCTTGGTGAGACGTGTCTGCATGTCCGTCTGCCTCTCCCCCTCATGACAGCCTCGCACCCCCCTCCGTGGGATCCCCTGCCGAGCCCCTCCCCTGGCCGACACAGGGGTTTGAAATAGGGAGCTCCTGCCTTGGGAAAGCAGTTTCCTTTCCCTGTCCTGCTCAGAGGTGCCCTGGAGAGCAGAACAGATGTGATTCTGTTAACTTCAGGCCTGAGGAGGTGATTTTTGTGGACATGAGGCTGCATTTGGTCATATTACTATGTGCCATTGTTGCAGGAGCTTCAGGGAGTAAGTAGCATAAACTTTTTCCTCTGCTAAGGTGCCAGTCACTTAATGTAAAATATTTCTGCATAAGAATGATCTCTCTAGCAAAGCATTTGAGATTATTATAAATTATGTGACTGCTTGCAGATCTGCAGTAATTATTTTTGCAGGATTGTCTTTATTTTTTTCAACACAGCATAGCAGCTTGCTTTACTGAGATCTCAGGGCAGGTGGGAAGTCACCCTGTATTTAAATGAGTGCAATAAATAGTGCATCTTTCTTCAACATCACTGGGGAAAGCAGCAGAAAGAGTGAGATTGGGTCAGTTAATCCTTTTCTCACTTGAAAATAACATGTAAAATATTTGTGACAGTTTGGCATCCTGAAATTGTGCTTTCAGGTATTCGGACATGAAGGATTCTTGAAAGAGTGAAAGTTCATGAAAATGTTGTTCTTCTCATTTGAAAAGAGATCAAATGCATGCTGCCTGTAAAACAAAAGTAAATGACAGAAGAAAATATAAAGCTTAAAATATCAAAGCAAAGGGCAGAAATGTAGACATTTTAGAAAGTGCTAATTGGCAGAAGTGCTCAGCCTGCCTAGGGTCTGTGCTAATCTTGCTCATGGCATTCAGGTGTGCATGAGGAGCTGAGAGTGCTCTTGGTCATGAAAACAGGTGCTGAACATCTTAAAATGAATGTCCTTTAGATATATGGGGCATACAAAATACCTGGAAGCACAGAAGATGATTAAAAAGGCACTTTCACCTCTTGTCCCTGGTGGGTGGCAAACCAAAGACTACCAAGGAGCTTCCTTAGGGCTGCCTAGGAAGGTCCATTAGCACACAGTATAGCAGAGATTTGGTAGGGGTGAACAATTATACTGACTATGGATTTTTCTTCCAGTTCAAGTACTTGTATGTTATCTAGTAGCGCTTGAAATAATCAGATGAATATAATTCTGTCAGGATTTGTTTCTTAGTCTGCTGGTGCTGGAAAAGATTTCCTTCAGCAGTAAAGCTTATGCTTTCTTTGGCCTGCTTTTTTTGTTTTGTTTTTTTCATTTTTGATTAGGAATCCCTAGTTAAGTAGGCATCATTCACCATTGCATAAAGCAAAACCTTGCTTAGTTTAAATACTGATGAGAATATACAGAGGAAGGAGAATGAGGGTGTTAATTTCTTTCCTTTTCTTTGAGAATCCAGGTTATTACATTTCCATGCTCAGTAATATGCAAAAGCATGTCCTTCATTACTGTGTGCTACTGACATGGGAGGCGGTGGGAGCACAGTCGAGTCCCAGTGAGCTCGGTAGAAAAACTCGGGGACTTTTTGGGCCAGGCTTTGTTTTCGGCCTGGAGCAGCTCATTGAACAGCTAAGGGAGGAGGAGGAGGGTAGAACTGCACTTAACCTTTGTCTCTAAGATGTTTCCATATAAAGAGAATATCTACTTTTTGTGTGTTTATTTCTACCTTTTCTATCTGGAAGCTATGGAATTAGGTTATAATAAAGAATAATGCTACAAAGATTTTAGAAAGAGAATATGAAAATAAAGAATGGAGGCCGCTTTGATGAAACTCTTTCTTCCCTGCCTTTGCTTTATTTCCTCGTTATTTATTTTTTGTCAATGGATGTAAGACTTTGTTACTACAGGGTACTGCCTCCTAAATGTTCTGGTGCATTAATCCCAACAAATATATTCACTGCTGATTTCTCCTATCTGTATTTGTTCTCTTCATAGCTTAGATATAATCAGAAAACTTAATTTCAGTTATCTTTTTGGTTAGGAGGGATGTAGGATGAATGAAAACTGGAAAACAATAGCATAAAAATTAGGAAGTTTACCTAATTTTGTGGGTTTATGAAATTATTGGGATGTTCTGAAAGCCTTGACAGAGTTTATAAAAGTATTTGATCTTTTTTAAATTGTCATTATGCTTTAATAGTTCTTCTCTTTTATAAAGGAGAATTTTATGAGTGACAGGAAGTATCCTTGTTACTATTTCTTCTCTTCTGTGAGCTTTTCATGTGTCTAGGGCAGAAAGTGGAACAGGAGAAGAAAGGGAAATGATAGATATATGTCTATGTGAAAATACAAGTCACTGCATATTGCCTGAAACAACAACCTTGAGCTGTATCTGTCCTTCCTTTTCTCCCCTGATGAGCTGTAGTGGAACCAGCTCTGAGCACTGTGCCTGTCAGGGGCCCCAGAGCCTGGCTCTTGAAACTGCGTGTAGATGGTGTCACATCAGGGCAAGTGGTATCTCTAGTAGTACAGAATAGGTAAGAATCATTTGTAACAACTGCAAAGGCAAGTCTAAGCACCAAGCTGCGTGATGTGATCCTGTGATTTGCTCAGACATTTTAACCCTCATGATAACTATACATGCCTGCCCTAGGATATTCATATATTGCTTTTTTAATATTTCATGATATGTGCACTGTAACTGAACTGCATCAGTGTCTGTCATTAGGGCTCCACACAACTCTTCAATGTAATCTTACCTGTTGTTGCAGGATCCCTGGAGAGATTAGGGCATGGAGCTTCCTGTTTTGCAGAGTGTGGAGGTGAGTCAGGCGTGGTATTTAGATGGTATTCAGGCCCTAGGTGTGAAAAGGACACCCCCTCCAACAAGGGTGTTGTGTCACTAGGAGAATGTTACTTATGTCCAAGCTGGGTTTGACTGTCTGTGGAATGATCTGCATTCATTGTGACCTGCCTCAAGTTCACATGCTGTGAGCATTCATAACGCATAAATCTTCAAGCTAAATGAGATATTAAACTAATGCAGAGAGTCATGTGGGAATGTCTGTCTTTGCTATTAAACTAATGCAGGGCAAGGGAGAGTCATGTGGGAATGTCTGTCTTTGAGTACTCAGCTTTTGAAACAGCCTTTTTCTTCTGTGGACAGGCTCAAAACTTCTCTTTTGTAAAAAGGGGAGGAACAGACAGAAACATTGGATAGGAGAGTGACCTGGAAAGGTTTGATTAGGTTGTCTTGAGGCACGTGTAATTTAGGCTACAGAATAGACTACAAAAATGAGTTCTTTTGTTTGTTTGCTAGGACAGAGTACGTTGCACTTTCCCAAAGGAACCAGATACAGCTACAGGTATTCAACAGTCACCACCACATTCCTACTGGGAAGCATTTACAACAGCAGTGGTCTATCTCTGGAGAGCACAGTGACCATTGAGACACTGGGGAGGTGCCAGATGGCTTTGAAAGTGAGTATTATCATAACATCAGAGCAGCTGGAATGAGCTGACATGGAGCTGTGCCTTTCTTTAAGATGACTCATACATTTAAGATACCTTCCTCTCTTGTATTTAAAAGCCAATTAAATTCTTGAAGACATTTTTAGAGTTGTGGAATTGTTTTGATGCTATCGAGCTTCAAATTAAGTGTAAATATTAGCCTATTTTAAAGGTCAGATAACATGAATAATTTCTTTTTCCTAAATGGAATAACTGTTTCACTGGTTTGTCTTGTGTAGAGCTGAACTGACAATGCAACTAATCCCTTCAAAATAATTCACTGGATTTTCCTATGTGTAGCAGTAAATTAAAATATATCAAAGCTTTCAAAGAGAACTTGAGTAGCTTCTGGGATCTCTTGGATTGGTGCTATGCCTTACATAGTGTAAAATTCAGTTTAGTAATACTCCATTGATCTTGACGGGAAATATGTCCCATTGACAGAGCTCAGACCAGTTTTGCATTACAGACAATTTTTTTTTGGAGTGAGCGTGCTGTGGGCAAGTTTGAGCACTACAGTGTCTAGCAGGGAGAGTATAAAATAAGTTTATCTGCCTTAATTTTCCTTCAGGCTAACAGAGGGGCACGTTCCTAGGTTCTGTGCAGCAGAGCTGTAAAGGGTGCGTGTACATATATGCATGTATATAGGAGGCCAACAAAAATAGGATAGTTACCTGTGTAAAATAGCTGTGTAGATAGATAGATCTAACTGGCCAGTGGTCCCATGATTTTTATATGAAAGGTGAGAACTTGGGTAAACCATTTTCAGATTGAATCACTCTTGCTGCTTCCTTGCAGTACCAGTGGCCAGCCTGCTAGCACTGTATGTTACTTTGAGGCCTCCTAAAATGGACAAAAGAATGCACAGTTGCATGCTTGACTTTATTAAAATATATACATACGTGTATATATATATATATAAAATATGTGTATAATTAAAAGGAGAAGAAATTACTGACGATTGCAGTCTGTCTTGCAGGACATAGAGTCATCATTCTTGTGCTTTCATTTCTTCCTGACTACAGACAGTCAAGTTGCGAGTGCCTTAGGAAATTCTGTAATAAACACCAAATTACATTTTCTCCTCTGAATTCAGTAAGAATAAGCTATGAAATGTATACTGAACTTGGACCAGGTTTAGTCTCAAAATTGAACCAACTTGGTAGTCAGCATGAGTCTTTCCACCTCTGTAGAAGGGACTTTGATTCTGTGATTTTATCCGGCCGGGCTTGCTTTTTCCCCCAGAGTAGGTAACAGTGGCTTGAAAGAAAAAGGATATGATAATGCCATATAAAATGATTTAATAATCTGTGAAACTTTTTGTAGAGGAAATTATCTGGAAATATTGCAAATGTGCATCCTGCGCCTTTGGTAATGGCGATTTGGGGCTGTGGTGATGGTACACTTGTGACCTTTTTCATAGCCCACTTCTTCTATTTACATGTCCATCTGTGACAGAGTTCCTCTTACAAGTGATATTTGTTGCATTATAATCTTTGTTTTTAGGTGCAAGATGTACAAATCAAGAGAACCCTTGCATCCAGAGAGGAGTTTTTGAAGGAAATGGACGGTCTAAGGTAGAAGAACTTCTAATCTGGTTTGGTTCTTAGATTTTTTTTTTAATGATATTTGATTTAGCAGGATCTGAGCACCATTTACTATGAGTTTTGTACGCTTTTTCGATTTTAGTTATTTGTTTAAAAATCGAAGATGAAGCTAAATGAGGGCATTTGGTCAGATTTTTTTGAATCTAATTTTCATCCCTTTTGTCTATTCTCTGAACGTTTCATATGTAATTTAAATAATTAGGAATACAAATTACCAGCTATGTAGTGGTTCATGTGGATAGTTCCCTAGGTATCTGAGTTGCAGTTGTTACTTTGACAGACTCTTGAGGTTTGAAAGTCCATTTCAAAATTTTGGTTTGAGGGGCATTTTATTCCTCAAGATACAAAAAGCTCTTCTTTCTTCCAAGATATTTAAGTTGCACTTATTTTTCTAATGTCAACCTCCGCCTTTCTTGTTTTTGTTTTCTTTCTTTTTTAAGCTCATTCATAACAGTGTGTAGCCTTCTGACTTGCAAAGGTAGAGACACTTGTCAGGATGCCTGTTCGAAAAGGTCCCCTCAAATTGTGGAGGTCTCATATTTTCTCAGAGATCAGATGCTTCTTGTGTCTCAGAAAAAGCAGTTCTGTTGCCTGGTTAAGCTGAGTCTAGTAATCTCCCTCTTTGTCCTGCCACTTAGATTCTCAGCCTTTAAACAACGATGAGAACTGAGGTAATCGCCTCAATTCAGAGGGTCAAAAAGAGCAAGTTTGGAGTAAATTCATGGCTTTTTATATCCCTCAAGAAAAGCTTTGTGCTCTGCAATATAAGTGGTGCTGTCAGAGCTCAGATCATTTGAAGTTACAGACCCTTCTTCCTTTACAAATTTTTTTGCAGGATTTTCGTAGAAGAGCGAGCAGTGAGGCCTTGTTCTCTGTAGAGAAGCCAAGCCAAAAAGAGAGGTAGCAAACAAAGCATTCAGTGAAGCTTGACTATTGAAAATGATTATTCAGACGAGCAAACCTTATTAGCATTTGCCTCAGCCTATTGTGAATATGCTGTGGTCTGGCTTGTCCTGTGAGCATGCATGTAATTTCCACAGATAGCAAGAGAAATGCCCCCAGTTGCCTAGGAGCAGAGACCCACATCCAGTGTGCAGTCTCCTGTTCAGCAAAGACTTCTTCCTGGGGTTGGCACATTATTATTTTTTTTTTCCTGTTACGTTGCCTTTATCCCCCCATTTATTTACCAAATAGTTCCACAGTTAATATGCAGATGATCTGTGTATCTCCCTTCATAGGAACTGACTGTTGGGCTGTTGCAAAATTCTTTTCCTTCATCTGGGTGGTTTCTTTTCCCCCCTTTAAAATAATTCTTTGCAACCAAAATACATAACAGTAAGAATGAAAATCAGTGTAAAATGTGATTTTTTGCAAAAGTAGAACTGTCTGTACTCTCAATAGACAAAGCTACTGGGACAGAGAGTAAACTAACAGTGGGGGGATAACATCTGGGATAGGGACCAAGTGTGTATACTTAGCAAAGAAGGAAGATATTAACCATGGCTTGATTGGAAAGCAGTTGTGTTTGTGTATATCAAGGCTTATCAAAGCTTAAAACACCCTAAATCAAAAGACCTCCTTGTTAAATGGAGTTGCTTTCTTAATGACAAAGATTTTAGTTTAACACATAATGACTTGTAAAGATTTTCTGAAGAATTGACCTAGTTCAGTGGTACAAGTATGAAGAGGCTGCTGTGACCTTTTAAAGGCATTTTAGAGTCAGAGTGAAGTAGTGAAGAGTAGAGTCTTGTTAAAAAGAACAGATAAAAATAAAACAGATTAATTGTGGGGAGGAACTGTTCAAAATTTTAAGTCATAAGTAATGTCATAAGTAATAACCTGACTTGCAGTCACTGTTTGAAGCAAGAAATGATAAACTGTTTTATTGCAGAGAGATACTAGAAGAGCATCCTCTTTACTTTTCTCTCCACGATGGGAAAATTCTTCAGCTCTGTCCTGTAAAGGGTGAACAGACTTGGGCGCTGAACGTCAAACGAGGCATCCTGAGTGTCCTGCAGACATCACAGGCACCCACTGCTGCTGGAATCGTTGAAGAGGTGAGAGTGTCGGTAGCATCGTGCTCTGGGGTTCCTGTTAGCCTTTGTATGTTTTAAATCTACCCTGTCTTTAAGCAACTGAAAATTACTGCCACTTGGTGACCAAGTCAGCAGGCTACAATGCTCTGATTGTATTTTTTCTGAAGTTATTAATTCGCCTATATTTTGCATTCTTGTTAGGAGTTTGTTCCCTGAGGAAGAGCTGAGGACTGCCGTTTTCTTAACACCGGAGCTTGAACTTTACCTGTGCGCTGGGGAAGGAACAGTGTTTGTAAAGGGGCTGATAGCTTCACCATTGAAGTAGCTGGACTTTTCTCATTGATTCCGAGAGGTTTAGAATCAGGCTTCTCCAAGCTCTTGAAACGTTGTTTAGAAAACTTAACCTCCAGCTCTGCAGTGTTACACTGAAATAAGTACCCCACTGTAGTCCATGTGTGTATGACTGTACTTGAGATATCTAAATGGCTCTGCTGTTGTGAAGAACAGTGACCATTGACAGAGTATGCACCCTCATTTTTGTGCTTCTGTTACATACTCATGTTTACAGAGATGTTTCTCAATAGCATTTAGGACATCTATATGTAATTACCTTTTTTTTTTTCCTGAATAGAAATGCTTTTCTTAGCTAAGGCTTCTCTGGAAACCTGGAAAATATGAAGTGAAAAAGCCTGTATTTGTAAATGATCTGTCTTGGGATAGAATGAAGTTTAAAAAACAAGCAAGCAAAACCTTTCATCTTATAAAATATGACCAGCATCCTTTGTCCTGTTTTTTGTGTCAAAGCCAGTTACTTGCTCGGGAGAACTTAGCTCTCTCTGCCAGTTACTACAACAAAGCCATGATTTTAAGTCCCTGTAATAGTCCATAATGTGTGTGTTCTTGTATGATTCAACATTGTGTGTTTGTTACTAGATGGATATTCTGGGAATATGCCAGACCAGGTATCAGCGCAAAGGTCCTGCCCTTGTCAAGACAAAGGACTTAAACCTCTGCTCTCATCGCTATTCTGGTTTTGCTTCCGTGCAGTCTGTTCCTCTTCCTCATCTGTCAGTAAGTGGCGGGGAATTATGCTGATTCTTCCACAGATCCTCTTAATTTCTTCGAAGAGTCCAAGTACCAGGTTGGCCATTTCTGTCACGTACTTTTACTAGTGGGAACATTTTGATAATGTAGTCTTGTATTCTCAATAACATCTGTGTTGGTCTGACCTAACTGGAAGCTTTAGCAATGAAATGATGAATGCTATTGTCTATATAATGCCTGTTAGACATCCAACTTTTTTTTAATGTGAATTTGCATAGTAGTTAATGAACTAAAGTGTAAGTGTAACACTTGGACACCTGGATTAAACTCCGCTATTAAAATGTATTATGCTTATAGTGGTAAACTAAGAGTAAAATTAGAGGGTGAAATGGGAGATGAGAGAGACATGGTTGAGAGAATCTTGTGTAAAATAAGTTATTTTTTAAAAAAAAAAACTTTGGAAAGACAAACTTTTCTATAAAGAAAACTTGCAACTTTCCACTGTTTGTCAAATGCAGTCAGTGTTTGTATCTTTTATGGTTTTTATTATGTGAAACTTACTTCCATTGTACTCTTTTGTCATCATCTACCAGCCTCTGTGTTCTTGGCTTTCTGCTGACCAAAAAGAGCTGCTTAACTCTGGAGCTTTGCAAATGGAAATCATTTGAGACAGTTCAACTGTTACATTTCAGTAAAGGATAGCACAGACAGAAAATAATGGGTGTATTCATGCTCCAGAGGCTATCAGAGGTCTGGGCAGGAGAATTCCCTTTGTCAGATAACTGGAATTCTCCAGGAAGTTGGGAAAGGCAGGCAGATTGACATAGGTGTTAAGGCATTCCCTGAAATACTTGTTCTTAGTCTGAGCAGCAGATCCTGTCATCCAGCCTGGAATGTGTTCAGAGCTTTAAGGATGGAATCCTGGCAGAGGCGGAATGCACCGAATCCAACCTCGTTGCACCGTTCTCCGAGAACGGGAGTGGGGCAAAGACACAGACACAGTCATCGCTAAAACTCATTCAGGTGGAAGCAGAGACACTGTACAAATGGGGACCAAATAATTGTAAGTACTAATAGAATTCAAAAGAATGTGTCGTATCTGAGAACAGTATTGTTTTTTATTACATCTTCACTCACTATCCCTCACTTAAGAGAAAGAAATTTACTGATTGTAATGCGTGCTTGGGCAAAGGTTTAAAAACTGAGCTAGAAACTTTAAGAAACATTTTATGGATGTATGACTATAAATTCCTTGTTTTTTTTTTCCTTAAAAAAAGGAAAATCCTAATTTCCTGAGCACTTTTTGTAATGCTGATGTGTGATGACAATATTCTCTCTCATGAAGAAATTAAGTGCCCCATCATTTATTTCTCTTGGCACTTAGGTCTCCTAGTGAGGTTTTGGTAGTTTGGGAGTGTGGGACTGGATGAATTGGTTGGAAGTTGGAAGGGTGATGAATATATAGCAGTAGGACCATTGTTATGGGCATGCTGGTGTAAAAGGGGATTTTTTTTTTTTCCAAGTTCATCTTTGTTTTGTTTTTCTTACTCTTTCTTGTCTTCTCTTTCTTTGTCTCCAGGCCAAATTTGTCTTTAGGCAGCATTCTCAAATTCAACCACAGTGCAAGTGTGTTTATTCATTCCCTATTTTTACTGACATTAGAGTGATTCTTACATGTACAAATAAATCCTGAGAGAATAATTTTTCCCTGTCATTTAGTTTTAGCCACAACAAATAGCCAACAACCAGACATGCGATTTTTCCCTATGTTTTTTCCAGTGGATTCCAAGCATCTGTATGTGACCAATCTGCTATATGAAAAGGAACAAATTGAGAGACAATTCACTATAGAGGAAGCGACTGAATTAGTGCAGAAGCTCTGCTTAGCACATAGTGTGGGATTGGAGGTAAGCTTTTCCAAATACTCTCAGATTGTTCTCTATGCTCTGAGAGTTCTCCTGCACAGATAGGGTGACTTACTGTGGCACTATTACTGTTATCCCTTCACTATCATTCTGTTACCCGTAGCAACAAAGTCTCGAGAGAAGAAATGGGCCCGCACCTGAAATTTAGGAGATCTGGATTTTCCTTCTTGAATCTCAGGGTCTGATATATAACCTTTGTACTACTTCTTTTTTTTTAAAAAAAAAAAAATAAAGAATCATTTCTCTGGTGACCCTACGAGTCATGGTACAGCAAGAGAAAGAGGGAGTAACATAAGTAAAAAAGAATATAGTAACAGAAGGAGGAGGTACATGTTGAAGCCACAAATTTATAGAGGTCCCTTGTTAATTTACTGGGTTAATCCAAGTGTTGTAAAATAATTTGAAAAATAAATCAAGTACTCTCTGACTGACTATCTGGCTAGCTTCTTTCTGTTTACCTTTTTCTGTTATGTGCTTGCTTTCTATACTTACTACTGTTGTTCATCAAATGTGATTCATGAGAGTTAATTATGTGGGATTTAATTTTTTACATCTTTAACTGTAATATGCAGAAACTGTACCCAACTTCATACATACTGTCTGTCTTGCTAATTAGATTAATGGTGGCCTCCTTTATTTGGAATATTTGAAGGAATAACTGGTTTTTTTTTGTGTGTGTGTGTGAGGGAAGTTCAGACACTTTGAGGCAGTAAACTTCATGAATCTATAGTTTAATGGTCATAAAACCTTAAGCGCTCTGGAGCACATGTTTTGTTCAGTTGAGTTATAAAATGCTTTTAAGATTATTGTGTTGGCTGTAACAAGAAGGACACGGGCTGTAACTGAGGTCAGCTATCTTAAGATGTCTTTTTTGTGTGTGTGTGAGGGAAGTTCAGACACTTTGAGGCAGTAAACTTCATGAATCTATAGTTTAATGGTCATAAAACCTTAAGCGCTCTGGAGCACATGTTTTGTTCAGTTGAGTTATAAAATGCTTTTAAGATTATTGTGTTGGCTGTAACAAGAAGGACACGGGCTGTAACTGAGGTCAGCTATCTTAAGATGATGGTTAAATAATACTAAACTGTTCTTATTGAGAGTATAAATCGTAATCAATATTTTGTTAATAATTGAAAACTGGGTTTTGGTGCTATGCAATTTGGAAGTGTTGATAGATTTGTGGTATGTTGTAGTCAGCACATTTGTTCCTTGTAAACGAGTCTTTTGGAAGAGGCAAACTGGTTAGTTATAACAATTCTTATTATCAACTTAATACGCAGGTGTTAAAAATATCTATTTTTATTATTTTCCAAAGTATTTATTAGCTAAAAAGTTTAAAAGCAGAAAGAGTTTATAGGATGGAATTTGTGCACAGGCAGTTGAAGTGTCTGCATGGCCTGTTATTGTGAATCAGGCTTTCAATCCTTGTTTGAGGCTATTTGGAATAAAGGAAGACAGAGCAGAAATATGTCTCTTGGGCATTACACGGGTAAAGCTTATGGTGAATAGCTACATTAGCATCTAAAACTGCCTTAAACTGTGATGTGGTTTGCTTAGTTTTTTAGTCTTAAGTCTTTTACTGTTCTTCCTAGTGAATTGGAGTCCTGTCTCTGTTGGCAGATACATAATGATGTAGTATAGGCCTGATTCTAGGCATTAGCAGGAGTTTGTCCTGAGCAACATTACGTTTACCCTCCAGATCAGGTGCACACAGTGACATGTGATGAAGAATGTTTTTTCTGGAGAAATATTGGTTGTTACTCGGAGTTACCGAGGCTGTTAAATGGTGCTCACAGTTTGACCTTGTATCCCAGCTGAGCCGAGACGTGCAGGACAAGGTGGCCGGAGGCCTTTCTGGGTGGTGCTGTGGGGCAGATCTCTCTCTCCGAGCTGCCCCTGCCGTGTTTTCAGCAGCCTGCCGGGGAGGCTGTGGCAATAGAGAGCTAGCAGATCCAGGAAAGTAACTCTTGCTAATACAGATTAAAAGCAGACACTTTGGATATTATAATGCTTAATTCTATATGGCTGCCATTGTAGCAGCAGTATGAAGGGTGTTTAGGAAAAGACTGTATGGGCTAAATACAATTTGGAAAGTGTAGCAAAAAAATTGTAATTGACCTGAGAAACTTGCCCTAAATCTTGCACGTTTTGAGCCCTTGTATTTCGGTATCTTTGAAGGAATGGGACTTGTTTCTTTCTTTCTCACCACTATAGCTGTGGGATGTCCCTTCTGTCTCCAGAGAGGCCTTCTGCCTTCCTGCGTGGGAAATGTGTTTTGCAGGTTGCTTAGATGAACAAGCAGCTCCTGTCTGTGCCACTGCCCCAAGAAGAGGTGAATTATTCATCACATGCCTGTCCCAGCATTCAGACGGTGGGGAGCTGTTTTCACTGTTCCCCCTGTGTGACAGGATATTTCCAAGAGGATCTGTATTATCCCTCATTCCACCCAATAGTGCGTCCTTCGGGCAGAAGCTATGGGAATGCCGACTGTGTTACCTGGGAGACAGCCCTGCTATTAGGCACTTATAGCTTGTTTGACCCCTTTTTGTCTGTCTCTGAATGCAGCAAGATTATGCATTTTATTCGGGACACAAAAATAAGAATAAATGGAAGGGAAAATCCCTGGCTCCAGTGAAAAGAGTGAAGAGTGGAGAAAAGGCAGGGAGGAGACTGTGTCATTTCCAAGGAAGCAAAATTGTTTAATTTTCTAATGCTCTTAGGAGACAGGATTGAATTTCAATGTGCACGTAGATTAGCTAATGGACCATTAAGTGAACAAGCTGCACACTGACAGAATGGTGCACGGCATGGGAGGAGTGACCCACGCCGGAGAAGGGTTTGGAGGAAGCTGTCACACAGCCTGGAGCCCTTGGCTGCATTTTGGTGCTGGATTGGTAGCTTGGTGAATGTGGCTGCTCCATTCAACAGGAGGAGTGCGGGCCAGCATGCACGTCAGACCCACGCTGCCCTTCTCTGGTCTCCAGTCTGACCCCAAAGAAGGGATCTTGAGGGCATCGTCTCTTCTCACCGCTTGCTTTTTGGCTAAGATATTCCATGGCCTTGCTGGTCACAGCTGCTCGTGTGTTGTTTTTGATGCTTCTAACTTTCATAAGGAACATAACAGAACTATTCCCAGGTGAGGAGGCTGTTCTGATTTTCAAGGTGAATAAAGGTGCTGTAGTTACATCAGTGATGCTGCTTTCATTAGACTGTTGTTTTTTCTGTACAACTATGATAATGACTTTGCCAGGAGCAGAAATGTTTGCCTGGTATGAATTGGAGAATTGAATGTTGGGAATGGCCTGTAAGGTCTCTTAATTTGACTCATGACCAGCACAATTTCTTCTTACTATGCAGCTCTTATGCTGTGGATATTCCATGCAACAGAGCTGCTGCTGCTTCCATCAGCAGATTATGTCCTAGTATAACAGTCTGGGTCAAGATATTGAAGATCCCTTCAGTAGCTGCTCTCAGACCCTCAGAGAAGGTCCAGCTGGCAGCTGGCTCCCCAATGCCAGGTCTCCCCAGCTGCTGGCATCGAAACAAATGACCTCCCAAGGCCTCCATGCCGCTGATATTCTAGTCTGCTTGCACACACACTGTGGATTGGATTGCTTTGGGGAGCTGACCATTTGCCTCAATATCCATAGTCAGTCTGGTAGAATCCCCAAGTCTTTTCACGTGGCCCATCGTGTGCTGTAGCCCTCTTGCTGACTAAACCAAGCCTTTCGCTTGGACTGAGCTTGCTGGGTTTCCCGCCTGGGCAGCACGCGGCTCCTTCACCAGCAGTGACCCTGGGGGGCCTGGTCAGGGTGCTTGGTTTTCTCCAGTTAGCTTATTGGGGTTCTTTAACCTCTCCTTGTCCCTCTCTGCTCTTCTCTCTTTCTGAAGATGAGCCTGTAATCACATAACCTAGTGTGTATCACTTGGAAAAATCGATTTAAAGTAGTGTTTTGCTGTTAAGGAGCCAACTCTGCCAGTCCCTGTCTTAAGTTGCTGCTATTCTCTGAGCAGAAGAAATCAGGCAGCTGAAAACTACAGCTAGTATGGGAGAGAATTTTGTAACTCTGAAGAGTTTTAGTAAGTTTATTGGAGGTGATGTCTCTTATAAAGTACCTTAGTAATCAAACATAAATGTTCATGCTACCCTAGACCTATGGTGTTCCAGGTTTGGATTTTATTTTTAAACCATAAAGCTAATGCTGGAATACATGTTTATCAGGATGAAATTTAGCTATGAAGCGATAAATGTCATACAGGTTAATCCTTAGTTTCTAGGGCTTCATATGTAAGAATAAATTTCATTTTGGTGAAATTAGTATATTATAGTATTGCTAAATAAAAGTTCAAAAAGAACAAATCCATAAGCAGTATTTATGTTGGATCTGAAGAATGATTCTCTTGGCCTAGTAAACTGAAGGTAGTAAGAGATTGGGCCATCTTCTTCCTGGAAAATGACTTCATTTTAGTGAAAGCCTTTTGGCAATCTAAAATCAAATGTTGGCACTAGCGTATTCCAATTTTGCAGTGCTGGGAAGGAAGGGCAGGAAGGTCCATTAGGTCTGTCCCCAGGTCTCGGGCACTCCGACTCAGTGGAATTAGACTTTGTTTGCTTGTTTTCTCTGTGATGAAAAATATTTGGGAGCAGAGTAGTAGTCTTACTTCTAAGTAAATAATTACATCTGAAGTAAATAATTGAAAAGAATCTGTATGAAACGGGACATGACTAAAGCTTGTACGTTATAAATCAATATACAGGCTACTGTATTTAACATAACTTTTCAAGTGACGATAGCTATCTCTCAACTTCTGCAACTATGGATAAAGTCTCAGAAGAACATATCTGTATTTTATTTAACCTTTAAAATACTATTCCTACCAAAGGCTTCTACTGAAAAAAAAAAATGAGAAAAGGAGAAAAGATTTTTCAACAGAGCACAGATGTAATACAGGGCCTAGCTTGATTCAGGAATAGATTGACAAGCTTTTACTTAATAAAAATAGAAAAGTTTCTTTATTTGATAACATTCAGTGAACTCTTATGTGCATTTCTTTAATATAGACTATGAACGAGAAAAACCTATACTAAACAAAATGTTTTAGCAACATAACTGCAAAACCCTGGCAAAAAGTCTGACATTTTTGAAAATTACTGCTTTCAACTGTAGAAAACTGATACGGACAGATACGTTGTGGACTTTGTTTTTCTTCTTTACTGTAAAGTTTAGTACAGGTAGCTGCTTCACTTATTTAACTGAAAAATATGGGTGGGTTCCAAATTACACTAAGTGCTTTCCACCATGCACATGCATATAAATTATTAAAACAAATAAAAAATTATTCAGGTTAAGTGCCAATAACATCACCTCAATTAGTTATTCAGCCTGGTCTGTTTTATTTTTTGAGAGCAAGAGGCAGCTTGTGAATCAGCACTTCTTTATGCAGCAAAGCGCTTGGGGTAACACACTGTTCCCAAAGCAGCAGCGATGCAGCCCAGGCAGGCAGAACATCTCTCTTGCTGCTGTAGTTTTTAGCAGTCCCACCTAGTGGAAGGACTTTCCTGCAGGGCTGAGTGTGTGTTGAGCAGTTCAATGATCCTGTCAAGTTAGGAGTAATGACAGGCTGTGCGTGGGCCTTGTGCTTTCGGTGCTAAACTTGCATCCGTGGTGCTAGTGCTGGAGAAGGATCTTGCTGGGCAAATTCAGAAGAGGTGAGAGCCTTCTCTTCCAGATCGTACCCGCCGGGTATTGTTGCTTATTATTTGTTTGTATCAGAATGCTGTGCCTGGAGGTTACTGCATTATTGCTGCAGGGAAGGCTGCACATCCTCGGTGAAAGTCCTCGTCCCTACGTGTTTGCTGCCTGAAGAGAGAAAAAAAAAAAAAAAAAAAAAGGGAGGGAAAGATGATGCTACAGGGAAGAGAGGAGGCTGTTGCTTGGGTTACACTGTAAAATCAATCCTTGTTGTGCTCTGTTCTCTAAAGCTGCTTTTCAGCACAGCTGCACCATTGCCTTTCCTGTTGTGCTCTTTTGCAGACTGCAGGCCTTTTCACGACGCTTGTGTTTGAGCTTCGGCATCTTTCTCTTAAGGCCTTAACAGCACTATGGCAAAGATCTTCATTTAAATGCAGAGATAACTGGTAAGGCCTTTGGCGGCTATACTTCTTAAAAAAATTAAGGAAATAACGGTAATAAATGTTTTAAAATATTAATCTATTCAAAATATTTACAAGTAAACAAAGAAGTGCTGCTCTGGTGTTGTATTTTAAGCTACATTTAGAGCTGGAACACTTTAAGGGAAGACAGTATATTGCACATCTTGGCTATGTGACAGAGGATGATATTCTCTTCTTACTGAGTTAACAGTATATGCAGAATTGACTCTCCTGTCTCATGTCTTTTCCACAGACAGATTTCCTGTTTCAGGAACAATGTTAACAGGAAACTTGGGTCATGGCTTAGATGTGCATCAGGGTTGCTGTTTTTAAGCAATTTGTTTTATTGCAATTTGATCTGAAAAAGCCTATCTGAATTGGTGTCTTTAGGACTAAGGTTGCACCTTTGAGGTGGATTTTTGTGCTGCTGATGCAACCAAGCTGATCTAAAAGCTAGTGGCTACTGAAAAAGATGGTCCTGCTGACTAGAAATCCTGCTGTGCCTGTTTCCTGCCAATTCCTTGCTCGTTGCTCCCACTGCTAGCTTTGTACTGCTGCTGATGGTTCATCTCTTCCACCTTCTGTACTTTGGTATTCATGATCGTGCTTGTGAGACATGATGTTGAGAGTGAAACTGGAGAAAAACTGATCTTATAAAACAGAAGTTGATGGGATGCTCCTCTCCTCCTGTTTTTGCCCTGTGTTTTGTAAGAAATAGTGTGCTGGCTCCTGATCTGACTGAAATCTAAACCTGCCAGAAGGAAAAGAACAAAAAGGAAGTGGTTCTGATTTGCTTATGGTGGCATGTATTTGCTTATGACAGGGGAGAGGAGACATGGAGGCCGTGGAACCATGCCTGTCAGCAGCAGCACAATCTTAGATTGCTTTATAGTGGTTATGGAAATGCAGTTTTTGAAATCAAGGGCCTTCTTTGCAGACAGGAAAAGTCCCGATTCAAGGGTTTGGCTCTTTCAGAAATACCAATGAGGTCAATTAACTAGAGCAGGACTTTTCTCTCTGCAAAATCAGAATTCTGGAAAGCATAAACAAGCAATTTTCTGAAGTATTAGAGCATAATCTAAAATACTCTGCCTCTTTCTGTTTTAGTTTTAGATTAACTTGGGAGAGAGACACGTGTCTCTGCTACAAGTGTTTTTATTCTGTTTAGCTTAACAGCTTCCTAGTTAACACAGATATGTCCATCTACCTGTATAGGAAGATTTCACATTTACAGAGGGACTCCTAGGGATTTAAATGGGTACTGTCTATCATGCTGACATAACCTTCCCACGGATAAAATCTAAAACAGCATAGGAAATGAAAATAGGTTAACTGCGTTTTAACTGCACCAATAACAAATGAAAGTATTAAATAATGCAAAGTTAAGAATTCAAAGTACTGCAATGCTGCTTCTTTTTGTGGCTGAAGTGCTTGTCTCTTGGGCCACTGAACCAAAGGATAATGTAATTTCTAAAGAATCCAGCATTAGCTATGGTGTGGGCTTTTATTAGTTGGAAGGTAGCCCAGCCTCAGTATATTTGCTGTTTGATTCTTGGGAATTGTGGCTATATTAGATTTCGTGTGCTTTTTTTCCTTGTGTTACAGGCAGCCCCTAATAGATGCGCTCCCGTCGTGTGCGACGGAGGCATGTGTTCTGCTAATGAAAGAAATCATATCCTCCGGAGAAGCCGAGGAAGACACAGTGGAATCTTTCCTTTGGTCATTTTCATTCATTCCTGAGCCCACTTCTGGCATGATCGAGTGCCTTGCTGTGAGCAGACCAGTTTTCTAATTTATCTTTAGATCTAGCTAAGTCATAATTTTTGTATTTTACAGTACTAGTCTTTATTGCAGAATTATATAAAGCCCCATCTGCACAGGTAGCTTGAACAAGGTAGAAGTGAAAGTACTGGCTAATTTAATCTTTATTCCAAAAGAGGAGACAGTGCCATTTGCTCACTGCATTTTGACACCATATGAAATTATGTAAAATATAAAAACTGTAAGAATATGTATCGAATGACAGATCTACTACAGTAAGTGTGTGTTTTCCCATTTCCTTTATGCCTGCATCAAAAAATGTATGAGATTGTTTTTCTTTGACCAAAAACATTAATACTTCGAATACCATTTGCATTCCAAATCAGAAAAGTATGAGATTGTTCCCAATCTGGCCAGTTCCAAGAGTAAGTCCAGGTAAATAGCCCAGGCTGTTTGTGCAGCAGGCTGGGATGTCACGAAGTCTCTGCAGTAAAGCACAGTACTCTATGTTACCAGATTCAAGAGCATGTTTGCATATGAATATAAACATTTTAGTAGATGACGTTGACTATTTTGTATACTCTACTGTTGGACTAGAAAATTAATCACAAATATTTTTGTTATCTATTAATTTTTTAAAAGTAGTGCAAGAGTATTATGTATAAATAAATCTTTATGAGAATCTTCATTAAAGCATAGTTTATTACAAACTTGTGCTTCCTTTAAATGTTTGTGATGAATGTGTGTGCCAGCTTTTGCTCCTTTTTCTTAGCTACTTGCATGCCACATTGAGGAACATTAATTTAAAACACTTCTGAGTGTTCTGGAAACTAGTTTAGATTAATTTTCATACCCCTTCCTAATCATGTAGGGTATGATTTCCTGTGGAAAAAAAATCAATTCTATGTCATGCTGACGCCTTTTTAGTCCTTGTGTATTCACATGAAGATAGAATTTTCAACCATTTCTCTTCAGAGTTGTCCTCTGTGTTTCTGAAATCATTCAAGGGCCGTTTGAAAATATGTGTTGTCCAGATCGAATAGTAGTATGCAAGCCTGCTTACCTTCTATGAAGTGTGTTACAATGGTTGTGAAGATGACTCTCTTTTTTGAGAACATCCTCTTTTTGTGCTTGTTTACAGCCTTTGCTGCAATCAGCAGGAGCAAGGCAGAGCTCCTTCCTAGGAGTGAGTGCTCTTGTACACCGCTTTTGCTCAGCTCGCCAGCCCTGCGATGGTGTTCCCGCCGTGCAGAGCGTGATGAGGAGGCTCGGGGAATTTCTGGGAGGAAACTGCTCTGTGCAAGATTCGGCAGGACTCAGCCAGGTATTGGCTGGACAGAAGCACATGGCATAATGCTTTACCTCTCTGTACTAGTTTCTATTCTGACTTCATGGTGTAGAATTTCTTAGATGAAAACGGCATTCAGTAAATTTCCAGAAAGCTATGATAAAATGTTTTTTTTGAATTGTTGAGTAGTTTTTGATAGGATGAACATATAACCTTATGATTCAGCCAGTGTTCCTGACCTACCAGCATTTTGTTATATGGTGTTAAATAAGGAAGTTCTGCATCTATCTTCTGATGAAGCAAACCTCACAATCCTGAGGTTAAAGAACAGGTCCCCCTCTCCACTATTGACTGTACAGTTAGAGTTAGCCATGGTATCAGTGGCAAGTGAACCACAGTGCTCCTGTCTGCAAATAAGCCATGATATTGGGAGGCCTAGTGAGAGAGGGAAATCCTGTTAACTTAATTGCTCTGCATGATCCATTTCTTGGATTAGGAGTAATTCCTACCACAGTTCTGGGATTTTTAACTGCTCACTCAGTACTGGAAAAAAATCTTCATATTTTCTGCTCTCTGATCTACTTAATCCTTTTCATGATTCGAATGTGGAAATCCCCATTATGGTGTACCAGATAAACCTAGCTCCTGCTATGCTATCTCGTGTAAAAGTGTGCAGGCTACACACATGGAATTTGTTCATCCTGCTGTTTGAGCAGTCTGTTCACTCTTAGTTCTTTGACCATTTTTTGAAGGAATAACTTAAAGAAAACAAATTTTATGTATTGAGAGTCTCAAAATTTGATATAAAAATTCAATTTCTAAACTTTTTTTGTCTTCCCCCATCAGCTGTAGAGTTGTGGTTTGTGTGCTGTATGAAATTATCTAGATCATTCTGGCTTTTATATGTTTGGAGAATACCTGACTCTCATGGGAAGAAAATGGGAACAGAGTTTTATAGTCTGTGTTCTCTATCAGACAGAGGCACTGAGCATGGGTGAGTGGCCCAGAGGTGCCTCACTGGTCTTTACTAAGTTCTTAGAAGGGAAAAAGTATTTTGAAAATTAAAACAGGCTTTTAAAAGTTTCTAAAGATGAACGTAGAGTGGGATTTTCAAGAGAAGCTTTGAAATGAAAGCTTCATTAACTGCGGAAAAGAAGAAAACTGCGGTAACATTGTGGCATCTGTTGACATATTGCTTTGTGTTAGTCATTGTGTCCAAAAATCCACATTGGATCACTATAAAGATCAAATCAGGTGTGATCAAAAGGATTAAAATGTAGAAATATTGGAAAATGCAGGTACTTCAATGATGCTATAATCCATCAAGTTTAAGCCAGATTTCATTCACAAATGTTACGTGACATTTAAACAGCAATCAGTGTTCATACAATCCATATTTATTCACTGTCCTTACGCCAAAGGCACTGTGTGGGCTGCAGTGGAATCCCCAAATGAGCCATGATCCATTTTAAGTAGAGAATTTTGATGGAATTTTGACAGAATGTCTGAATGCTATAGCATTCCATGTACAGCTGGCAGGTTGTAGTTAATTTTTGATTCTGCCTTACTGTGTTTGCAGATGCAACTAGTGTTAAAAGCTATTGGAAATGCAGGACTGGCAGCAGTTTCACTAGTTCCTGTTTTGAGCACTTGTGCTTCCCTGAGGAGCAATCCCATTGAAATTCGTCTAGCTGCTATACAGGCATTCAGGCGTGTTCCCTGTTCTGTCAGGGTAAGTAATTTGTTGCCAACAGGTAACTGATGGCTTCCTGGTGGATAATTTAGTTTATGGATAAGGTAATCATGGATAAGGAGAATATATGCAATTATGGATAAGGAGAACATATGCATGCTTTTGTATACCGGTCGGATGAAGTGACTTTGGCAATGTAATTATAACAATGTCTCATTTTTTCAGAGATGAAACCCGAGTAATACCCTGAAGTGCATGCGTGAAGTATTTCAGGAGAGCAAATGCCATAATCCTGTTTTTCTCTCTCTGTAATCTTTTTTTTTCTTTTTCTCTTAGAATGCTGTATTAGTTCAGCTTTATCAAGCAACCAGTGATGAAGTAGAAACAAGGATTGCTTCTTACTACATAGCAATGAAATGTCCAAGTGAAGAATTATTTAAACAAGTACAAAAGACTTTGCAAAAGGAAACATCGAGTCAAGGTTAGCAAGCAATCACTGAAGTCTTAAACCTTCCAATTTAACACAGTATCCCTGAATCTTGATGTTTTCTTTTCTTTGGTTTGATGTACCACCTATGTAATGTGCACAATAGACTTCTGTCTAACGAGTGTTCTTTAAGATATAGAGCACATGCTAGCTTTTAGTCACCTTGTTCACAAAAATAGTATGAAAAAATAATTTGTTTTGTGGAAAAGAGATTTCTATTTAGTGGTGTGTGCTTTGAATTAGCACTGGAGCCTGACATTTGTTATCTACAGGGAGAAATAACTCTCCCTTCGAGAAACAGATTTCAAAGCACATGGAATATGTAGACCCCTCTGAGCAGCCCATATGCAGCCAAGCTATGACCGACACATCATCTTGCAGGAGGATTAATCTGGAACTCAACAGTATAACTGCTTGTGCTTTTTGTGTGGAAATCCTCATGGGCTGCACAGTGCAGATGGTTCTGTGTACGAGTATGGTTTGTTTGCTGCATGTAAATCACAGAATCATAGAATGCTTAAGGTTGGAAGGGACCTCTAGAGCTCACCTAGTCCAACCCCCTGCACACGCAGGGTCACCCAGAGCACGTGGCACAGGACTGCGTCCAAGTGGGTTTGAAGATCTCCAGAGAAGGAGACTCCACAACCTCTCTGGGCAGTCTGTTCCAGAAAGAACCTCTATTGCCAGTTTTCTCTCTGTAATTCCATATCCGTTAGTGAGTTCCCAGAGAACTGATAATCACATGCCAAAATTTATGCAGGAGATCTGTTTAGTGCAACTGTCTTATGTTTAAAGTTGCTGAATACCTGATGATAAGCAGCTTTGTGTACAGTTGCTTATAGTCTTTGATGTCGATTGCAAGATACTTATGTGCTTGCTGTCTATCTTAGACTTTTTTTTAAACAGTTCATTATACTGAATTAGAGATTTTCAGTAGCAAAAAAATGAGTGATGCTGCCAACATGAAAGTTTAAAACCATTTTTTTAAAGAATTCTGTTGCATCTGTTCTTTGAAGAAGGCACTTGAGATTTGGCAAATGTGAGAGTCCTACCTTAAGAGAGAGATCTAAGACTCTATGAAATCCTTCCAGTTCCGGTCAAGTTACAAGAATCTGAAAATTCACTGAGCTTGCTCATGTTCTTTAGAAATTTTTAGAGTGGCTCTTACAGCCCCATGCGCTTTATCATTCAGGCTCCTAAATGTGTGTTAGCTGTGCAGCCTGCCTCTGCTTTGTGCAGTAGTGTTGTGTCTTTATTTGAAGCCCTCACTCGAATTTAACATAGACCCTTCACAAACAGTGAAGTACTTGAAGAAAACAGTGAGCCTTACTTACCCTTGCCTAGTTAATTGAGAACTATAAATGTGATAAATGAAATTAAGGAGAGAATTGCCCCTCACATGCCGTATTGGAAAGCAAAAAGACAATATGAAGTTGATTATGGGAAAGATAAGGATGCATCAGACTGATTTTAATGCTCTTGAAAATGAGCAAAGTCCCTTGCAGTCAAAGGAATGGTTTAGATTAATTCTGGTGTGAATAAAATGGTCCCTTGCATCCATTTTAAAAATTCATTATTTTTTTTCTCTCATTTCCAAATGCTTTTCTTTGTCCCATTGAAGTGGGTTCCTTTGTTTGGAGTCATCTCTCCCAGCTTCTGGAGACAGAGGACCCGTTGAAGGAGCACCTTCGCGATGCCATTCCTGATGACATCCTTAGCAAAGATTTTGACTGGGAGTCATGGAAATACTCCTCCTATTCAGATGTCACATTCCACACAGGCATGTGCGGTTCTAAAACTTGATGCTTTGTAGAATATGCGTGATTAAAAACCTATGTTGCTTTCCTTGTCTATTACATCTTATCTTAATGACTTCAGAAAAAAATGTGCAAATGTAGACTTGATCTTGCTCTGATCTTGTTTAGAGCATACAAAAGCAACACCAGCAAGCCAAACAGCATGCAACTTGTCTCTTGTGAGAGTGGAAAATGTGAAGCTATTTTTGTGTTTTGGGGATGTTTTTTGTTTGTTTGTTTTCTTTTGATGTAAATTCTCCTTCCTAGTGTTAGTAAGAGAGTATGCTTATTAAAGGCTTTGTTATACTAAAAAGTTAAAACATTCAGCCAAAAGGGGGTATTATTTATTTACCATCTTCTTAATGGGCATATTAAATTGCCTTTTTAATAGACAAATTTGCAATTTTGCAAAGAATAGAATGATGGATTTTGAACAGGTGTATGAGAAGACCTGATCTCCAAATGACCAACATCTGATATTTTATATTGCAGCTGGTGCAGGTGCAAATATGGAAGTGTCAGTGGTCTTTTCACCTACATCTTTTCTACCACGATCAGTTGTGACAAACTTGACTGTTCACCTTATGGGGCAGGCTGTCAATCTGCTGGAGGCAAGTTCTGTTTTTTTGTGTGTGTGGTGGTGGTGTTGTTTTTAATAATCCCACAATTCCCATTACAGTCCCTTAACCAAGTATATATTTCAGTGCTATTGCAAAATTGCCTTCCGATTGACTGGAAGATTACTTATTTAATGCACATATGTTCAAACCGCTTTCACTCTGATAGTACTGTAGACAAGTCTAGGGAATTATATTCAACTGTAGTTGCCAATTAAAATAAAAATAAAACTCTGTGTTGCTAGCTTCTGAGAACCCTGATCTGTCTGTTGTTTACAAGTCAGCAGGATTCCATCATTTGACTTCAATGGAAACTGGATTGACTTGGATACACTGCCCCTTTACTATGAGAGGGAGAGTCATTCATAGCTGCTGGAACTCACAGTATTAGTCCCCTTGTCTCATGCCTGGGATAATTAAATGACCTGCTTGCAACGAGGAATCTCAGAAGCTTGTTCTGTACAATGGATGCATTCTTGTTTTACCTTAGTTTAACATACAACCAAAATACTGTGTGTGTCATCTCAGATGTTCTCTTATGATGTGCATGAATTGTTATGAGATTAAGAAAGGATTTTTCTTCTATACTGAGCTTCACATGATCAACAAACTAGGAAAATAGCTAATACTGAAATACCCAGTATTGCATGCTGCAT